TACTGAAAATATTGAAGATGGAGCTAAAAATTTAAGCTATCATCAACAAAATTAATTTATATAGAGAATATTTTATTAATATTATTCTATAACTAGAAAAAGTGACAGAAAATGGGACCAGGCCGGGGACAACTTCCATATATTTCCGATAAATATTATAGCAGGCACCGATTCTTTCGTCATTCGCATGGTAATTCGATCTGAATTACCTACAAATGAGGTAATTAGCTCTAAAATTTTTGTATGGCGAATTACGTGATTCGGGAGGTAATTGGTAAGGCTAATGACGAATGGGAGATCGAATTACGAATGAGAGAGCGAATTATGAGTTGTGGAAAGGCCGGATAAGGAGTTTGATCAAACGTCAACATGTCGGCTAAAAAATCAAAAAATTTAGTTTTTTGTTCACATTTCCCTTAAACGGCTTGTCAAACCGTCAAACACCCCCACACAACGTCAGCTTTAAGCAAAGGGATATTTCGCTTGGTTTGCCAAGCCGCTTGTATCATGATTCAATAATACAAGCAGTGTTGCCAGAACTTTTTGGACGAACCGGCTAAATTGGCAAATAAAACCGGCTAAAATATTTCAACTAAATTTAACATGTTTTATTTAAATAAATCACGAGTAAAAAGACCATTTCTTGGAGAGAAGTTACAAATTCGAGCCGGAACAAACCTATTGTCTTCCCTGCAAGGCCTTTTCAGACTGACCGATTCTCAATGCACTCAAACAGAAACCAATACACATAAAAAACGCTGTAAAAATTTCCCTTCAATTTTAGGGCAGTAAAACAGCGACCTTAAGTTAACATCAACCGAGGCCATTTGTTTACAAGGGATGCACAGTTACACAGAAGAACTTTTTCAGAAATCCCTGCAATTCTGATGTAAAATATGATGCCAAAAGACTGCAGATCTCCCATTTAGATGACCGGTCATATGATCGGCAGATGTCTTGTAGGATTCCCAGAGAGTTTTGCTTTACATAGAAATTTGTGCTCTTTTATTTTCATTTTGACTCATTTCAGTGTTGGTTCCTTTAACTCAAGTTGGCATTCGGTTTTTGGAATTTAAATAAGTTCTCAGCAAAAAAGTTTGTTTAAAAAAATACATATGTGTACATAGTGCTTGAAAATATCAATTTTTCCCTTACTTTAAACCATTGGGATTGGTTTTGTAATCTAGGCAGAATTGAATAGGCGCTATCTGGGAAGACAATATCTACATGTAATATTTATTCTGTTTGTTGGCACTATATCCAAACACAAACGCATCTTAAGTGTCTTAACAGTAAAACAATTTCTTATTTTCTAAGTTTGCGTATAAAACTTCACACTTAAAATTAAGACATTTATAACAAACATTTTATAAAGAAAATCCCTTCTTCTTTTAAAATAAAAATAAGCGAAATCGGGCCAGTTTCATACAACCCTGCCTACGGCTAATTTTTTTCTGCAAAACGGCTAACAAATCGGCTGCCGGCTACATCGAAATTTCTCCGGCTGTTTGCTATCGCAACCGGCTAAATCTAGCCGGAAAACGGCTAAAATGGCAACACTGAATACAAGGTTAGATACTTATTGACAGCCGCGGTTTGACACTCCCTTACAAAAGGCTGCATTTACGAAGGACAGAGAAAAGGGAATAATGCAATCCCTTGTTGCGAAAATGGTCGTAGAACAGTACGCAAAATAGGCAATTAGAATTAGAAATTCCTTTTGTAAATTGTAATGTATTTGCAGGAATTTTGGC